TTTATTAGATTAAAAATCTTAGACTTATTCCTTTCTAGAAATATATTCGGATCTATTCTTCCACCTTCTATTTCATAAGTATTTAAGAAACCACGCATAGCCGTTGCCTTCTTTTTGATTCCGGAAATTCTAGCAGAAATATCGGTAAAATCATCTCTGCTAAGACTAGTAAGACCGTCCATAAGCAACTGAAATTCATCATTCACACTCATCCTTATATATAATATAAATATAATCACAAATAAAACCAAGAATCTAAAAGATTTAAAAAAAATACAAACATAGTAGTGGTAATATTTATGGAACAAAAAATTGARAATTGAAATTTCAATCGGTGCAGGTGGCTAGCTGTTTTGATTTTAAAAAAGTGAGCCAGTTTCGGCCTATTACCACTACTATCGAGACAGTTGTCTAAAAGGAAAAAGGCCACATCATACATTTAATATTTCCTTGGCTTCATCCCCAGGCTACTCTCAGTCGTTTTGCGTGACGTCACTTTTTATTTGCCTCAGGAGCTTTCGCCATCTTGGACGCTAAACTGACTGAGAGTCTAACCATAGCTGTCAACCCTCCCGAATTATCCGAGAGTCTCCAGAATTTGAACCTCGTCTCCCGGTCTCCCGGATAAAGGTTGAAATCTCCCGGATAATCGTCAAACTTGTAATAAATATTGTAGGTAAGACATACCCAAGATATCTCCGCTTATAATAAAAAAGCTTTTTTTAATAATGAGCTAGTTAATGCTTATAAGTACGTATAATATTCGTTCTTCAATCGAAATGTAACTTTGCTTCCTGTCAATACAGCCTCCCCTCCCCCTCCTCCTTTGTGCCGTTACGTCACGTGTCACGTACTTACGTAGTTGTTCACCACAGGAAGATGAGGCTAAGCATACCAGGGTATTTATTAAAAGATACTGCAACGAAGAAATTACAAACCGGCGGTGAAAGGACGAGGCCCGGCATAATACATGTAGTTGGTGTACTTACCTTGGCTACCTGTTCTGCATTGCTCTTTTTTGCTTTCTTCTGTGGCGAACAACGAAGAAAACCGCTACCAAAAGTATGACGATGATAAAAACCAAGAAAATTGGTAGGATGATTGGTAAAAGATCGGTCTTCATCTCTGGTTCACTTATATCTNNCTAATCATTTATTAGTTCACACTGTTGGCCGACCGGTCGGTCCGTTGATTGTTTTAATCGTTTGTCTATAGAAAACCTCGTTCCCATGGCCACACAAACATGGAAATCCATTCCTCGTCAGCGAGAGAGAAACCTTACCCCACAGTAAAGCACTTCAACTTGCTTGAAGGACGCGAATCCCAACAGCACCCAATCCTTGCACAAGTCGTTGCGTTCGGACTGCTTAGCAAACATGGTATTTTTGCTCTGGTGTCCCGTCCATCGACCAGCGCTGCGCATTCAAGACCCTGATCAGTCATATCTTCAAAAGATTGGAGTCAAAAAGAAATAAATGCCTCAATTTGGTTTAATAATGGCAATGGCGGATCCGGAACGTTTACTTGAGAAAAAAATAAATAAAAAAATCCGTCCACTTGAAGGAATCTAAATTGGATAAATCCTCAAGCAAAACGATGCGCAACAACATTGATATTAACGAAACTATAGAAAACTGACATAATCATGAAACTGAAGCTCAAAACTTAAAACAAAAGAAAAACAAGAAGAAAAGGAAACAAGTTTACAGTTGATAAAGTGTAAAAAAAAAAAGCAAAATAGAACAAAAGAAACTAAACAAAACTATTATCTATTATCTATAACGTCCGAAACTTCATAGTAAACTGTTTCTCCTACCACGTTTTTTACGGTATTAAATACTTAAAAAAAAACTACATAAAGATATTGAAGCCAAGCCAAATAAGAATTAAACCTCCAACAACAACTGCCCGTAAATCTCATCAGTATCAATCAGGGGTTCACTTACTGAAAAGTCCAGTCCTAATACACGAGTCATTGGAGCTCATGTTGTAAGCTGTACTTGGTTTGTAGTGCGAACAGTTTAGGAAGTTTAAATGAGTGAAGTAGATTCCCTTCGATTTTGAGATGTATTTCGCAGCTCCCAACGCCTGAACACAATCAATAACGCGTGATATAGCAAAGTTCCTTCATTCACTAAAAACTTAAATTATGTAGTGGCGCATTAGGGAAAAAGAAGGGGATGGGATGAAAGTAAAGGAATAGGAGGATAGGCAAGAAGAGAGAAATAGAAAAGGGAAAAGAAAGAATTGAGGGAGAGAGGTAAATATGAATTGCAGTAAAGAGGGGGAAGCGGGGAAGGTCGTCATATTTATCAATAGTTGTCGAAAATCGTGGCGCACTTTTTTTGAGAAGTTTTCCACTTCAATAAGTATCTGACAACGTTGATTTTTCAGTTTCCAATTAAAGTACTACTAATTTTTAGACGTTGCCACCCCTCTGGATTCTCAACCCCCCCCCCCCCCCCCTGATAAATATTGCGCAGTCCCTAACTAAAGTATAACGTTTATCTTTCAATTAGTCATAAACCTACCTGATTGAGCGAATCTTTACAGCGCTTGAATATCGCTATACAGTCTTCTTGACAGAAAGTACGAGCGTTGCCATCAGACTTACAGGGGGGTACGGTGTAGTGACAAACCATTGTTAACAAAATCTTTTGACAAGCCTTGTCATCGTTGGCATATTGGTTAATGATATTAATCATTTCTCTTAAAAATACCTCTGTTGTAAGAATACCAAGCTTGTTGTCAATGAACCGGGGGGTCACTCGATGATCCGGCAGTGTGGTGTTTATAATTTTCATGCATGACGGTACTGGATTGATGTGGCATGTGTTCCCCCTGTTGAAAAGGAATATTCAGTTAACATAAGCTCAAGCTAATCATTTATTAGTTCACACNAAGTCAATTTTGGCTCCGCCGCCCCTGTCTTTTTTCCATGACTGTAGATCTATTGACTTTACCTTTAGAGTCGTGCGACTGTACAGATGTTTCTGCTGRTTGGGCATTACGTAGGTAATGATTTAAATCTCCTTCGTTCATGTACTCAAAGATCATYCCATAAGGTTCCTCCTCTGTCGAGACGGCGATCAGTGAAACAATATTAGGATGATCAAAAATAGACATCAATGCAACTTCTTGGAAGAATTCTGTCTTCATTTCTTTACTGGAGCCTTCTTTTAARGCCTTCACCGCTACCATGACTTCTTTCTTGGGTTGACCGTCGACAATACCAACCGCRCGACCTGGTAATCATTGTAAAGTTGTTATAATATTAYAAAAYATCTAWGRCTGGTTGTTGAGCGTTTTGATAAGGTTGGGAGGTTAGTGGGACGGCACGGTACGCAAGATGACAGTAAATTTTGTAAGATGTCGGTTGTTGGGTTGATTGGTTGCTAGACTGATAGGTTGGTGTATTGATTGGTGGTTGATAGATTGATTGGTAAGTCATGGTTGATTTGTTGGTTCGTTGGTTCGTTGGTTTTGTGGTAGATTGGATGGTTGTTGTGTTGGTTGGTAGACTGATTGGTTGTTTGTTGGGTTTGTTGGTGGGTTGATAGATTGGTTTGTAGGTTGGTTAATTTGTTGGTTTGTTGGTCAGTTGAGTTTATGGTAGATTGGTTGGTTGGTTGTTCGGTTAGTAGGTTCGCTAAAGTACGTATTCGCCGGTGCATGCCCTTAACTTTCGCAGCATTCTGTTGTTTAGTTTGGATACAATCATCCAAAGACATTCAAAGAAGAAACAAGAACTACCATTCAGTCATTACCTTGAAAAACCTTCCCAAAATGGCCCTCCCCAAGATCTTTTATGTACTCCACATTATCCAAAGCAAAGTGTTTCATCTTAGATGGATCGTACAAACGTAGCAAATCCATACTCTTCAATGAATCAGCTCTCAGCTTTTCTCTCATTGTCAGAGCTCCATCACTCAGCATCAGTTTGCTGTTCTGCATTGCTCTTCTTTGCTTTCTTCTGTGGCGAATAACGAAGAAAACCGCTACCAAAAATATGACGATGATAAAAACGAAGAAGATTGGTAGGATGATTGGTAAAAGGTCTGTCTTCTTCTCTGGTTCACTGATATCTTCAAGAGAGAGGATTCATGATTAATATAAAACAAAGAAATACCTTAGTACGGTAACAAATGGCATCGCCGGATCAAGAACGTTCAATAAATCAAAAAGATCCGCGCCCTTGAAGGAGTCTAAATTGAAAAAATCCTCATCTAAAACTAAACTGGTTAGAATATACAAATGAAGTAAACAAAACGATGCACAACAACATTAATATAAACGAAATTATAGAAAACTGACATACTAAATGAAACTGAAGCTCAAAATCTAAAACATCAATGAAAAGGAAACAAATTTGCAGTTGATAAAGAAAGCGAAGCGAAAAGCTAATAAAAAAAAAGAAAAACAGAACAAAAGAAACTAAACAAAACTATCAAATAAAATGGTGGGAACTAGCAGTAAACTAGTGTGAGCTGCGTCGGTGTTTCTGAAGAAACAGTTGTGCAAAAAGATAAAGTTTAACACCGTAAAAATTAGGAAAAACAACATACTGGACGTTCCGGACGTGAATCCTTCGGCTTTTTACTCGGCGACAAGGGATTAACGTCCTACATGTCAGTAAGTTGTTTCCCATACTTTTTTATGGTAGGGTTACTTACTGAAAAGTCCAGTCCTAATACACGAATCATTGGAGTTCATGTTGTAAGCTGTACTTGGTTTGTAGTGCGAACAGTTTGGGAAGTTTACATGAGTGAAGTCGATTCCCTTCGATTTTGAGATGTATTTCGCAGCTCCCAGCGCCTGAACACAATCGATAACACGTATTATATCAAAGTTCCTTCATTCACTAAAAACTTAAATTATGTAGTGGMGCATTAGGGAAAAAGAAGGGAATGGGATGAAAGTAAAGGAATAAGAGGAGAGGAAAGAAGAGAGGAAGAAAAGCGAAAAGAAAGTGAGGAAGTCAGAGAGGTAAATATTGTGAATTGCAGGAAAGATGGAGAGGTGGGGGCCCGGGGTGGGGGAGGGAGAAGATGAAGAAGGGGTAGCTAAACGTTTTATGATTCTGTTGCTTGTATTTGTATTTCCACGTCTATAAAACGTTAATTACCACCACCCTCACAAACAAAGTAAATTACGCTCWGCCCYAYTCCCCCCGGTGAATTAATTAATTTWTYATTCGTGAATAAAGAGTTGTCGAAAATCATAGCACACTTTTTGGAGAATTTTCCACTTGAAAATACTGACACCGTTGATTTTTCAGTTTCCAATTAAAGTACTAGTAATTATTAGACGTTGTCCCCCCTCTGGATTCTCAACCCCCTCCCCCCACCCCCCTAAACTAAAGTATAACGTTAATCTTTCAACTAGTCATAAATCTACCTGATTCAGCGAATCTTTACAGCGCTTGAATATCGCTATACAGTCTTCTTGACAGAAAGTACGAGCGCTGCCATCAGACTTACAGGGGGGTACGGTGTAGTGACAAACCATTGTCAACAAAATCTTTTGACAAGCCTTGTCATCGTTGGCATATTGGTTAATGATGTTAATCATTTCTCTTAAAAATACCTCTGTTATAGGAATGCCAAGCTTGTTGTCAATGAACCGGGGGGTCACTCGATGATCCGGCAGTGTGGTGTTTATAATTTTCATGCATGACGGTACTGGATTGATGTGACATGTGCCCCCCCTGTTGAAAAGGAATTTCCAGTTAATATAAGCACAAGCTAATCATTTATTCGTTCACATTGATTGACCGGCCGACCGACCGATTAATTTATTGCAGAATGGATCTATGGAGTGTTCAATTTGGATTAATCTTGATTAATAGGTCGGTCCTCGGTCGATAGGTTGGTATGGCCGGTCGGTGGTTCGGTGGTTCGGTATGGTCGGTCGGTAGGTTGGTATTGTCGGTCGGCCGATTGCTTGATTCGTTTGTTCATAAACAGGGTCACATCTGCATTCATTCATCGTCCGCACGAAAGAGAAATCTTACCCTACAGTAAAGCACTTCAACTTGCTAGAAGGACGTGAATCCCAGCAGCATCCAATCCCTGCACAAGAAGTTGCGTTCGGACTGCTTAGCAAACACGGTACTTTTGCTCTCGGGTCCCGTCCATCGACCAGCGCTGCGCAGTCAAGACCTGATATGAAAAAATAAAGAA